TTCCATCTATTCTATTTTGTTTTCCAACTTATTCATGTTTGTTCATTCTTTTTTGTTGATTTTTTTTCTTTTAGTCACTTGTTTGATTTCCTTCTGTTAGTTCTCCTTTTCTTTTTTGTTGATTTTTCATTTATTTGTCAATTTTTATTTTGTTCTTTTTGTTATTGTTCATTTGCTTTTTTCATTTTCTGTTCTTTTCTCTCCTGTTTGTTTCATTCATTTATATGCCATCTCATTATTTTGGTTGTTTGTAGTCATAGTCTTTTAGTCTTGTTCGTTCTTTCTTTCTTTCTTTTTCTACTGCTTTCAGACATCCTTTAGCACTGTCCTTCCATTAAGACTGAATCCACCGTGTCGGCTTGAGTTTGTAGTTTGGCCGCTTAATCAGCTGGAATGGATCCCGTAGTTTTTACCTCAGGGAGAAAAGGTCAAGACAGACAAGGCTGGAAATTTCTCACATGATATTGTCTTCTCTCCCCTCCTCCCGCTCCCTCCCTGACACTTGCATATGACAAAGTTAATCCCCCTTCAGATAGAAGATTACAATAAAACCTTTTCACAACTACATTTCACCTGTTAATTCAGACAGACCCAGAAATGCATGCATCATGCAAATGTCAATTTAGCGTTGGAGCTTTAGAGATTGATCCCATTCATCAATCCTGCCGTTTGGAGCAGATCTCGTCAGATATTCATAGACTCTCACTTCATTTTTTTTCGCTCTTTTTTTTTTTTTTTTTTGTGGGGAACACCTCAATTACTTTCACTTCGCCTGTCTTCTCTCTGATGTACAGGGTTTCCTGGTAATGCATAGTTCATCATTGATAAATTCATATGTTTTTGAAGCAATCTCCTGTTTTGTTTTTCAAACCAGTGGTTATTGAACTAAATTCATGTTGCTATATGTTTTGAAACCATTTATTTATAGCTTAAATATTCGATATAGAAAATACTATTGCACCCATGCAAAGGAAAATATTGATATTTCACCTTCTCTGATGTGTATATATAATGCATTAATTGTAATGCATTCATAGTGTCTTATGATACAGCCTATAATAATTTTTTTTCATACAAATGCATATTTTTACATAAATCTTTTATATATCCAAATAGTAATATAATTAATATAAATTAATACTTTTATTCAGCATGAACACATTAAATTGATCAAAAGTGACCGTAAAAGAATTTATAATGTTACAAAAGATTTCTGTTTCAAATGAATGCTGTTCTTTTGAACTTTTTATTCATCAAAGAATGCTGAGCAAAAATGTATCACAGTTTTCACAAAATATTAAGCAGCAAAAACTGTTTTTAACACTGATAATAATAAGAAATGTTTCTTGAGCAGCAAATCAGCATATTAAAATGATATCTGAAGGATCAGGAGACACTGAAGACTGGAGTAATGATGCTGAAAATTCAGCTTTGCATCACAGAAATAAATACATTTTAAAATATATTCAATATAGAAAACAGTTATTTTCAACTGTAATAATATTTAACTATTTTTACAGTATCAAATAAAGACACTTCTTTCACAAACATCTCCCTGTGTTTTTGTTCACAGGAGCTGACTGTGACGTGGATGCTGCCGCCCGGTTCATCGCCTCAATGTTTGTGTCTCTCAACACGACGCCCAGCAAACTCATCTACCACCACTTCACCACAGCGACCGACACCTCTAACGTACAGGTAGTTTTCCAGGTCGTCATGGACACCATCATCAAGGAGAACCTGGAGGCCGTGTCTCTGCTCTGAGAACCATTCCTCCTTTAAAAACTCAATAAAGACTCACGGATGAGCCCTTCACAATGCTGATGGTATTTATTGTATATGATGCTCTGATATTAATCAGAATGCACACTTTTCATGAAGCAATAACTGAATAAATGCCAGTTTGTTTTTTTCTTGCTTATATAAAATATCTAATAAAAATGCAATAATCAAACCATACGAATCACATATTATGCTTTGGTGTATAATATGTATTTAAAGAGTAAATTATGCTGTCCTTTGAGTGGTCGAGTTGCTCGTCCAAGCATCCCATAATTTTCCACCTGACATCCCCCACTTCCTGTGTGTACGTTACCATGGTTAATCATCACTTATAAAATAACCTTTTCCCCTTGTGTAAATCTTTGCCCAACACAGTCCATTCAGAGATTGAACACCCTGTCAGGGTCCAGTGTGTTGTTTTTGAGTTTTTTTGTGCTATGAATCATCTTTTGCTTTTGACTTATTTGTGATCCAGCACTTTTATAGTTGTTGAGTTTTGGTGATTCAATCTGAAATGGTTTTATTGTACCAAGGTGAGCCAAACGCACACACACACACATCTATATGAAGCATAATCATACCTGTAGCAAATTTGTTGTAAATACATTTTAAATAATGTTGCTTTACCCATTTATTCATTTAGTGAGATTTAGTTGATATAAAATGTATCTTTGCTATTTAAATGCTGTGTTGCGCCACTTTTCGTGGTAAATTCAAGTTACTCTTTTGTAAATGCAAAAAAAACACTGTGGATAGAAACATCATTAAAATCTAACATTAATGTTTTTGATCTTTTTTGTGCTGGTTTCTCACAAAATGAATGGTATGAAACAAATCACGCCAGCCCAAATGCACAACACAAGCGTACACAGAATGAACATAATATCTTTCAAGTTTAATAAAATAAAGAAAACATCTTTGAAAGTTTTTGCTCATAACAGTGAACTCTTTTTATGAACATTTAATACATCTGGAAGTAGGTAAAGGTGACGGGTGGGCGCAGAGAAGAACGGATCGAACAGAAAATACCTCTCCGTTTTGTTTCTGTGGATTTCCTATTTTTCCATTTACAAATTTAAAGCAGCGAACTTCATATCGTGTGAACCAGGGGTGCTCAGAACTGCTCTCCAAGATCTATTTTCCTGCAAAATATAGCTAAAACTAAGTGTGTTCACACTAGAAGTGACTTGAATTCGGTTTGACTTCACTTTGCTAGATACTAAACTAAAATCAATCTCTTTACTGTACATTTTATGTCTTGATTACCAAATTTCATTTTAAGGAGAATAAGGGGTTTTTGTGCATCACAAAACCTTGTCCAACTTATTTTTAATTTATGTAAGAGCGGGCGCGGCCATTATGTAACTTGAATGTGCCAGACTTCCGATTATTTTTAGCGGCTCCTTATGCTGCTTGATATTGCAAACTTGCTTATATTATCATATTATTTTAATGCTGTGTCGTAATTATAAACATACTGGTTTGTAGCGCAAATAGTTTTACTGTTTACTTCACCTTTAAAAAAAATAATAAAAATCTTCCCGTTCCCGCTGTTTACCTATAGCGAATGAATCGAATCTCTCGCACATTCACAGAACTTTCGCTGCTGCGAAATAAGGTGGATGGATTTATAATATCACTCGAAATGAAAATTATTATTATTGGTACATAACTAAACTTTGCTGGAAAGTATATCTTCAAGAGCAGCGCTGAACATCCCTGGTGTAAATCAAGTAAACATTCAATGTCAACAGCGCGCTTCACTGCCTTGGCTGTAAATACTCCTGAAATGGAAGAGACTTTGGGTCGGGGAGGGGGAGAGACGGGTTCCGCTCAGGGGGTGAAGCAGTCCAGCGAATCGAGCGACAGAAACACGTCTGCTTTGCACCGAAACGTGCTTGAACCGTCCTGAACCAGCTCACAGCTCTGTAGGTTTGGAGAAATGTCCTTTACGCAGATGGCCTGAGGGGAAAAACGGCACGGTAAACGTTAATCGAAGTTATGGTTCTGATGCCTGAATTGACGTTTACGTCGTTCTTACTTTTTTTTACCAAAAAAAATAAAAACGCACACACACACACATATATAAAGTTTTTTTGTGCTATGAATCATCTTTTGCTTTTGACTTATTTGTGATCCAGCACTTTTATAGTTGTTGAGTTTTGGTGATTCAATCTGAAATGGTTTTATTGTACCAAGGTGAGCCAAACGCACACACACACACATCTATATGAAGCATAATCATACCTGTAGCAAATTTTTTGTAAATACATTTTAAATAATGTTGCTTTACCCATTTATTCATTTAGTGAGATTTAGTTGATATAAAATGTATCTTTGCTATTTAAATGCTGTGTTGCGCCACTTTTCGTGGTAAATTCAAGTTACTCTTTTGTAAATGCAAAAAAAACACTGTGGATAGAAACATCATTAAAATCTAACATTAATGTTTTTGATCTTTTTTGTGCTGGTTTCTCACAAAATGAATGGTATGAAACAAATCACGCCAGCCCAAATGCACAACACAAGCGTACACAGAATGAACATAATATCTTTCAAGTTTAATAAAATAAAGAAAACATCTTTGAAAGTTTTTGCTCATAACAGTGAACTCTTTTTATGAACATTTAATACATCTGGAAGTAGGTAAAGGTGACGGGTGGGCGCAGAGAAGAACGGATCGAACAGAAAATACCTCTCCGTTTTGTTTCTGTGGATTTCCTATTTTTCCATTTACAAATTTAAAGCAGCGAACTTCATATCGTGTGAACCAGGGGTGCTCAGAACTGCTCTCCAAGATCTATTTTCCTGCAAAATATAGCTAAAACTAAGTGTGTTCACACTAGAAGTGACTTGAATTCGGTTTGACTTCACTTTGCTAGATACTAAACTAAAATCAATCTCTTTACTGTACATTTTATGTCTTGATTACCAAATTTCATTTTAAGGAGAATAAGGGGTTTTTGTGCATCACAAAACCTTGTCCAACTTATTTTTAATTTATGTAAGAGCGGGCGCGGCCATTATGTAACTTGAATGTGCCAGACTTCCGATTATTTTTAGCGGCTCCTTATGCTGCTTGATATTGCAAACTTGCTTATATTATCATATTATTTTAATGCTGTGTCGTAATTATAAACATACTGGTTTGTAGCGCAAATAGTTTTACTGTTTACTTCACCTTTAAAAAAAATAATAAAAATCTTCCCGTTCCCGCTGTTTACCTATAGCGAATGAATCGAATCTCTCGCACATTCACAGAACTTTCGCTGCTGCGAAATAAGGTGGATGGATTTATAATATCACTCGAAATGAAAATTATTATTATTGGTACATAACTAAACTTTGCTGGAAAGTATATCTTCAAGAGCAGCGCTGAACATCCCTGGTGTAAATCAAGTAAACATTCAATGTCAACAGCGCGCTTCACTGCCTTGGCTGTAAATACTCCTGAAATGGAAGAGACTTTGGGTCGGGGAGGGGGAGAGACGGGTTCCGCTCAGGGGGTGAAGCAGTCCAGCGAATCGAGCGACAGAAACACGTCTGCTTTGCACCGAAACGTGCTTGAACCGTCCTGAACCAGCTCACAGCTCTGTAGGTTTGGAGAAATGTCCTTTACGCAGATGGCCTGAGGGGAAAAACGGCACGGTAAACGTTAATCGAAGTTATGGTTCTGATGCCTGAATTGACGTTTACGTCGTTCTTACTTTTTTTTACCAAAAAAAATAAAAACGCACACACACACACATATATAAATATATATATATATATATATATATATACATGCTATAATAGTTATCAACCAAGTCATTTCATGATTTCAAAGGATGCTGAAAGCAACCAATTTATAAATTTTTATAGGTTTTAATGTTTAAACATCCTTTTCATTTGTAAGACGATTTTAGAATCTGGAAACATGAAAGAATTTTTTTTTTTTAACTTTTCGTCTTTTTTCTTGCTTTTGCAGGCCGATTGTTAATATATGTTAATGTACATTCAAACATATATAGAACATTTGAATATACAATAATTAATGTAATTCATATGTTCTGAATATATGTTCATATTTGAATACTCATCAAGTATGATTTGTATTGCATTGTAAATTTGTCGTTAGTAATAATTTATGTAAAAAGTTATGTAAATATAATGAAAAATCATGTTTTTTAAGTTCACATATATATTTCTAATTGAATACTGAGTAACTTCTGCTCAGTTTTAAATTAAAATGTTAAAATTAAAATTAAAAATTTTGAATTTTATAAAATATTTTGAATTTATTTAAATATTTTTTATAAACTTTTAAATAAAATAACATTTAAATAAAGTGTATGTATAGCCTATGGTTTTCATAAAATACAATAGAATTTACCATGTTTTTAAGAACTGGAGTTTGTCTGCTGCTGAAGTCGGGCATCACGCTGTTGGAGACGCCGGGGGTCTCGCTGCTGTCCAGCGCTGATTCGGTCTCAGATCTGCGCACATACGGCGACCTCCGGATCCCGGACAGCAAACCCGAGGCTCTCCCGACGGAATAGTAGCTCGGCCCGGTGGACTGCTTGTACCAGGCGTCTGTAGGATGGCTGGAGATGAGGATGGAAACAGCCACGAACACCAGCACGGATCTGACGGACCTCTCCATTGCGCACTGGACCCAAACGCGTGTGTTGTGGTCTATGATGCCTCGTAGCTTTTGGATTGATGTTCTGCACTTCTGGAGTTTATATATACCCCTCGGAGTCGTGATCTCGTTCGTCATTCCCCACTAGATGATTCATATTTCCGGCCAATAGGATTGATTTGCGCGACTTTGCGCGTTTGGAGACGGCTGGGGGGCATTTAACTTCAGGTGGATGTGATGTGTGACGGGTTAATATTGTTTCTCTGTCACCGAACCTGTCTATATTGATCAATAAACGTCTTTCTGGCGTCACAGCGCAAATTAGAAAAGAGAAAATCCCGTGCGTAAAGACGCACATACGCCTGAACCAAAGTAACAATATCCAAGTATTTTTAAATAATTGCTATAGGAAATCTAAGTGCGTAGTACCTTAAAATTAAGTCTCATTAATAAGTTATTTAAAATATTGATTTATTGACTTCTCTGTAATTACACATTTGGATAAACGTCACACGGTTTAACCAGGTTGACAGATTTCGAAATCATTTAAATGAGAGAGCACTTTCAATATAGTAATTCAAACAGCCATAACAAACTTGAGTTTAGAACAAAAACAATAAAATGCAAAAATATTTTGAAACCTAGTTTCTTAGGTATCTGAGATGACATTTAAGTAAGCCAAAAAGTAATGTTTATTATTATTATCACTATTATCATTAAAATATTAGTATTATTCGATAATGTTATTTGTAATAAAACAATAATACAAAATGTAAATACAACAATGTAATTTTGAAATGACTGCCAAAAAGTAATGCATATAATAATAATAATATTTAAAATTATACAAAAATGAAATTTTGATATGTTGTTCCTTAGGTATTTGAGATGACATATATAAAATATATATTAAAATTATAATATGATAAAGTTAATTGATTGACAATCTCTCAGAAATGAAACTAGGAAGGCAGAGGACATGTATATGGAGTCTATGGTAATGAAAACGCAGTGTCAAATCCAATATGATCAGACCGAAACGCGTGTGTTGTGGTCTATGATGCCTGGTAGCTTTTGGATTGATGTTCTGCACTTCTGGAGTTTATATATACCCCTCGGAGTCGTGATCTCGTTCGTCATTCCCCACTAGATGATTCATATTTCCGGCCAATAGGATTGATTTGCGCGACTTTGCGCGTTTGGAGACGGCTGGGGGGCATTTAACTTCAGGTGGATGTGATGTGTGACGGGTTAATATTGTTTCTCTGTCACCGAACCTGTCTATATTGATCAATAAACGTCTTTCTGGCGTCACAGCGCAAATTAGAAAAGAGAAAATCCCGTGCGTAAAGACGCACATACGCCTGAACCAAAGTAACAATATCCAAGTATTTTTAAATAATTGCTATAGGAAATCTAAGTGCGTAGTACCTTAAAATTAAGTCTCATTAATAAGTTATTTAAAATATTGATTTATTGACTTCTCTGTAATTACACATTTGGATAAACGTCACACGGTTTAACCAGGTTGACAGATTTCGAAATCATTTAAATGAGAGAGCACTTTCAATATAGTAATTCAAACAGCCATAACAAACTTGAGTTTAGAACAAAAACAATAAAATGCAAAAATATTTTGAAACCTAGTTTCTTAGGTATCTGAGATGACATTTAAGTAAGCCAAAAAGTAATGTTTATTATTATTATCACTATTATCATTAAAATATTAGTATTATTCGATAATGTTATTTGTAATAAAACAATAATACAAAATGTAAATACAGCAATGTAATTTTGAAATGACTGCCAAAAAGTAATGCATATAATAATAATAATATTTAAAATTATACAAAAATGAAATTTTGATATGTTGTTCCTTAGGTATTTGAGATGACATATATAAAATATATATTAAAATTATAATATGATAAAGTTAATTGATTGACAATCTCTCAGAAATGAAACTAGGAAGGCAGAGGACATGTATATGGAGTCTATGGTAATGAAAACGCAGTGTCAAATCCAATATGATCAAATATTTTCAAATAAAGAGGTAATATTAAAAAAAAAGAGATATATAAAAAGAGATGAGATAATGTTTACTTTTGTTATTTAAAATGTTTATTAACATTTTCAATATAAAAATACAAATATAATCTTACAGTTCTCATATTAAACCATTTAAACAAGGGGTGTCAAACTCAGTTCCTGAAGGGCCGGAGCCCAGCAGAGTTTAGATTCAACCCTAATTAAACACACCTGATCCAACTAATCAAGTCGTTCAGGCCTATTTGAAAACTACATGGTATGAGTGTTGGAGCAGGGTTAGAACAAAACTCTGCAGGGCTCCGGCCCTCCAGGAATTGAGTTTGACACCCCTGATTTAAACAGTGAACCTGAACCATAAAAAGTTTATACAGTTTTCTCTCAGATTTTAGGCACTCATAGTCCATTGTACAGTGGTCGGCACTGCGGTTCCAGCTTGGTCTCGAGGACCGCATCCGGCTCACACACCCACGGATCCTCCGTTTGCCACTGCCACTTCAGCAGCTGATCCCTCAGGCTCTTCAGAACCGGGGTGTAGGCCGGATCACCAGCTAGGTTCTGCCTCTCCGTCGGATCTGACTGGATGTCAAACAGCTCCCACCTCTCCCGGTAGTAATACTCCTTTAGAGTCTTAAACCAGCCTGTGGGCTGGCCTGACTGAGTCCGGTTTAACAGATCCTGGAAGGTAGGGGACACGTAGAAGTCCTGGTCTATAGGGAAGGGCATGCGGTAGTGCATGTTGTGCAGGAGGCGGTAGCAGCCCTGGTGGATGGAGCGCATTGGGTAAAACATAGTGACCTCGTGGAGACTCTGGCTGGCATAGACGGTGACCCAGGACGGTTCTGAGATCAGGGCTGGGAGAAGAGACTGACCTGTCAACACAACCGGATGAGCCCCTGAGAGACTGTATGATGGATATGGCAAAGAAAACCAGTCCAGTATGGTGGGAGTGATGTCTGGGAAAAGAGTGAGAGATGCTGTTTTACAGTGTCATACAATTAACGCACAAGTTAATTGTTAAAAATCGAAAATGTTGTCACATTGCCAATAATCTGTGAGTAAATGGAAAGATATGGCCTTAAACATAGAATCAAGTGTGAAAAGGTGCAATAATAAGGGACGCCATTTTTAAATATCGTACGAACAACTTGCAATTCATACAAATATAAAATGTTACACTGACAATAATTGGAGCAAAAAATGAAAATGTGACCTTAAACACAGAATCTAGAATGAAGATGTGCAATAATGAGGGATGCCATTTTATAATATCGTACGAACAACTTGTGATTCATAAAAATAGAAAAAGAAAGTTATTATATTGACAATAATCTGTCAGGAAAATAAAAAGATAAGGCCTTAAACAGAATCAATTGCGAAAACGTGTAATAGTGAGGGACGCCATTTTCTAATGTTGTACGAATAACTTGCGATTTGTACAAATATAAAATGTTACACTGGTAATAATTTATGTAAATACAAAAATGTGACCTTAAACACAGAATCTAGCATGAAAATGTGCGATAGCCATTTCGTAATATTGTATGAACAACTTGCGATTCATAGAAAAGGAAATTGTTATACACATATGCTATGCAATTTGTCGTACAGTAGAAATATATCTGTACTATTATCTAGACTTGAAACACAGAAACGAGTGCAATAAGGTGTAATAGTGAGATGCAATTTTTTCTAAATTTGTACAAAAAACTTGTATAAATAAGAAATAAATTGTCGTACACAGACACTATGTTGGTAACAATGTCATTGGCAATAATTTGAGTAAATATAAAAATGTGACCTTAAACATAGAATCTAGCACAAAAATGTGCAATAATGAGGAATGCCATTTCATAATATCGTATGAAGAACTTGCTATTCATAAAAATATTTTAAAAATGGTGTTACATTGGCATTAATTTGTCAGTAAATAGAAAGATATGGGCTTAAACACAGAATCAAGTATGAAAATGTGCAATAGATGCCATTTTTTAAATACTGTATGAACAATTGTGATTTGTACAAATATAAAATGTTACACTGGCAATAATTTATATAAAAATGTGCCTTTAAACAGAATCTAGTGCGAAAAGGTGCAATAACGAGGGATGCCATTTCTTATTATCGTATGAACAACTTGTGATTTGTAAAAACATAAAATGTTACATTGGCAATAATTTGAGTAAATATAAAAATGGGACCTCAAACAAAGAATCTAGTGCAAAAAGGTGCAATAATGAGGGATGCCATTTTTTATATTGTATAAACAATTTAAATGTAGCTAAATTGGCAATAATTTGTATGGAAAATTTGCTATTCATAGAAAAGGAATTCATCATTCACATATGCTATGCTGGTAACAATTTGTCGTACAGTAGAAATATATATTATTTTCTAGACTCGAAAAACAGAAACGAGAGCAAAATGGTGTAATAGTGAGATGTAGTTTTTCTAAATTGTACAAAAAACTTGCTATTCGTAGAAAAAACAATTGTCGTACACATACACTACGTTGGTAATAATGCCATTGGCAATAATTTAAGTAAATAAAACAATGTGACCTTAAACAGAATCTAGCACAAAAATGTGCAATAATGAGGGATGCCATTTCATAATATCATACGAACAACTTGCGATTCGTAAAGATAGAAAAAGATGTTGTTACATTGGCAATAATCTGACAGTAAATAGAAAGTGCGAAAATGTGCAATAGTGAGGGACGCCATTTTTTTAATGCCGTACGAACTACTTACGATTTGTACAAATCTAATTATCTAGACACAAAACAGAAGCAAACACAAAAAGGTGCAGCAATAATATGGCGTATTTCATTATCATACAAAAAAACTTTATACAAAAAGAAATTGTTGTACAAAATGTTTTACACTGACCAAAATTTGTAGCCGGGGAGAAAGTGGTTGACTCGTTTGGTCTAAAATACATACATTTTTGTGTTTTAGAGTGATACGAATATTTGGCTATTTGTATAAAAAAAAAGTGTAGTACAAATAGCTTCCGATACAAATAATTATCATACAGATGTTTTCTTAAATCTGCCATTCAGTAACAGTTATTCAATACTCTGGTCTCAATCACAGAAAGGAGTGCATGAGGGTGCAGTGTTTTCTTAAACACAGGCGTACAGCACCACCTAGTGGTTAAAAGCAGTTATAGCACAACTCAAGCCCATGAGAGACTATGAGCTGTGCACATTAGTTTACTTACACATGTTCCTGATATCAATTAATCAAGCTATTGATTGGCTCTTACCCAGCAGACTGACGTAAGCCTGGCTAACCCGCCCCCAACGCTGCCGGTGTTCAGGTGAGGAGACCAGCATGGGTTCCTTCACACCTGAGCTGTACAGGTTTGTGCGACCATTGGGAAACGGAATTCCGTTATCCGAGCTGTAGATCACCAGAGTGTCATTTTCATATCCCGCATCCCGTAGTTCTTGAAGAACCAGACCGACACCTTCGAAATCAAGCAGAAAATTTGTGAAGATCTATGCAAGCAAATATTTAAATATTACTGTGAATGGTGTAAAATATATAACCTTGGTCCAGCCGGCTGACCGTTGTGTATTGGGCCGCAATATCCGCCCTCGCTGCAGGAGTGTCCGGAATAAAGTACGGTACCTAGTCAAATATGAAGAGACTGATGGTTAGGAAATTCAACTAATGACCTTTTAAATTTTACTTTATTAGTAAGGCTCACCTTGACCTGGTCTGGAGAGTAATACTTTGGCTCCCAATCCGGAATTCTCCCCATTCCGCTCTCTCCATTCCCAAACTTTTCACAGAACATTCCATACTGAGGCTGGGAATGGCCGCAACGGTGAGGATCATGGAATGCCACGTAGAGAAAGAACGGCCGTTCCTCTTCCATCTCACTCCTCTCCTCTTTCTGGCTTTGGAAGAACTTCCGGACAAGGAGCTTGATCTTGGTGATATTCCGACCCACCTGAAGAACGGAATTGGTCTCTTCTGTGTAGGCGAAATCAAACGGGTATACAGGGCCTGGACCCACGTGTTTTTTCCCAATGATACCTTTCCCAAAAAAAGCAATCATGAATTCAGTATAACTCCAAAAAAGTAAGTTTTACTAGTTCATGCTTTCAGTGTTCAGTAACCAATCATAAGCTGGTTTTCTCTCAATACTGGATTTCTGCATGTGTCAAACGTGTCAAAAAGTTTTCAAAATTTGTACGAAACTTTACATTTCGTAGAAAAATAAATTGACGTAATCATACGCATCTGTCATTTGGTAGAAAGATAGTTGCATTATTATCAGGACTCAAAACAGAAACAATTCCAAAAGTCATAATAGTTGGATGCTACTTAGTCATATATATATATGACTATGTTGTTATTGAGTCATTCTGTAGAAAGATAGCTGTACTCTCATCTGATCTAAAATAAAAATAAGCACAAAAAAGTGCAGTTTTGAGCCGCTTTTTACTATCGTACATAAACACTTACTAAAAAACAAATTGTTGCGAAAAATGTGTTATACTGATACAAATTTGTATTTCAGGAGAAAGTTCTTCTATCATCTGACCTAAAATACATAAATGAGCCACAAAATGTGTGTGAGGGAGATTTTTGTTTTAGAGTCTTAAAAATAACAGATATGATACATTGGTACACATCAGTCACTACAGAAAAACAAACAAACAAAAAAAACAACAGTTGTCCTGTCATGTCCTATCATCTGGCCTTGAACACAAAAACAAATGATAAAGACTTTAGTTTTTTTCAGTGTCGTATGAATTATTTGCTACACTACACTGGCACAAATCTGTCATTCAGTAGAGAGTTTTTCTGTTATCTGGCTTCAAACACAGAAACATGAGCATTAACATGAAAATTTATATTTTAAGCATAGTTATATTCACAGTTTCATAGATCTTCATCGTACCTGTGCGAATGTTGGCTTGTTTCAGAAGAAGAGGAAGACTCTGCACTCCATCAAATGAGTTAAAGTGATGAACTCCCTGATGGAGGCCGTACATCCCATTCTGGTGCTGTTGATCAGAAAGAAAGTTCAAGGCAAGTTTATCCAATGGTCAAGGCTAAAATAGAGACTTTTACCTTCTGGTTACCTGTGGTAGTCCAGTCAGGATGGTGGAACGACTTGGTGAGCAGCTGCTGACTGAGGTGAAGGCGTTCTTGAAGATCACACTGCGCTCAGAAAGAGCCCGGAGATGAGGGGTCTGGACCACAGTGTTGTTGTAGACATCCGTTTCGAACCCACCATCATCAGCTGTGTTGTACAACAGAACATAGACACAACATTAATACAACATAACAATACAAGCATCAAAACAACATAAATCTAACATAACAATACAAACATCAAAACAACATTTAATACAACATAACAGCAATACAAACAAAACAACGTAAAAACAACATAACACAAACAAAAAAAACACATAAATACAAGATAACAACAACACAGACATAACTGTATAAATTAATTATTTTTTCAAATCAGTATTTACAAAAACCCATGATTGTGTTTTACTACACACCAATGATGAGAAGCACATTTCTTCTTCTGCACTCTCCTATATCACAACAAACCAGAAGACACAACAAAGTCCACGCGAACAGAAACGACATTTTAGTGTCATTTGCCTCCAGAAATGTTACTAAAGCAAATGGAAAAGTCTTTGCTTTGTTTACACTCAGCGAGACAAACTTCCGCCCTATGAATCCATCACATGACCGCGATCAGCTGACGCGAAGCCTCAGCCAATCGCGTCGCGCGTCGCCGCTGACGCCACCAAAGGGCTGTTGTTCAGTCTTCTGTCAAAACAAACCGCGATACACGCCAGAGTCGCTTTGATTGCTCAAATGTTTCATTGTATATTTGTGTTTTGATGTAAATAAAAAGATTACTGCAGCGGAATGTTTGAACTCCGATGAAGCGCGAGGCTCAAAGGCATCTCTGAGGTTTGATCTTTAACTTGATTTCACATTGTGCCTCTTAACATTGATCTTAACTTTCAGTTTGGTTTGTAAATACGATTATCTAACTGATATTATTATTATTATTATTATTTAGTATGTTTTTTCAAATGCTTTTCTTCGATTTGTATTGCACTGGGTACTTAGATAATGAGATCCTTTTAAAATGTCACATGATTCATGTCAAAACTATAAACAAATCAGTTTTAACTGATTTAATGATTTAACAGTTTTAATCAAACGATGTTTGATTACTTTCTTTCTTTCTTTCTTTCGTCCATTTGAGTTATTCTTTAAGTGTGTTTTTCTTTGCATTTTACATTTCGGATCTTGTTACTGTAATGCAAAAAATAAAATCAATAAAATCTTGTTACTTGAATACAAAACATAAATAAAACAGCATGTAATAATGCATTATTGGTAATAGCAATATATTTATGCTAGAATTTGACATTTTATTAATTTTTAAGGGTATTTTTACGGACATTACGAATTTTTTTCTTTGCTTAATAGCTCCACCCTTCTCATGATCCTTGTTTGTCCACACCATCTGAGTGGCGTTCAACATCCTGGATGAAGCACTACAGCTCTTTTCATGATCCTTAACTGATGGTGTTTTGGTGGAGCTGAAGGACAGCAGATCTTGGATCTTCTGATGGAGCGGGTGACGGGTATCTGCTGGTATGCCGCCCTGCGCTCTTGTTTTCCCATACTCACCTGGCTGCCCAGGTATAACCTGACCTGGCTGAAGATGGACCTGATCGCGGGTCTGACGGTGGGTTTGACCGCGGTTCCTCAGGCTCTGGCCTACGCGGAAGTGGCCGGTTTACCTGTGCAGGTAAGAACATTCACGTTCTTCCAGAGACTGAGACTGAGGAGGGTTTTCTTGACACAGTGTTTGTTTATTTGTTTTCCAGTACGGCCTGTATTCTGCGTTCATGGGTGGTTTCATCTATTGTGTATTTGGGACATCTAAAGACATCACGCTGGGCCCGACCGCCATCATGTCCCTGCTGTGTTCGGCGTATATCGGTGGAGATCCTGTGTTTGCGGTGGTGCTCACACTGCTGTGCGGCGTCATCCAGGCAGGAATGGCTCTGCTGAGACTGGGTGAGATAGAAAATGGGCTTAAAGGGATAGTTTCCCTTAAAAATTCTATTGTTAATTACTCACCCTCATGTCGTTCCAAACCTGTAAGACCTTTGTTCATCTTCAGAACACAAATTAAGATATTTTTGATGAAATCCGAGAGCTTTCTGACCCTGCATAGACAGCAACACAACTATCATGTTCAAAGCCTAGAAAGGTTGCAAGGACATCATTAAAATAGTCCATGTGACATCAGTTGCATTGCTGCAGGGTCAGAAAGCTCTCGCATTTCATCAATAATATCTTAATTTGTGTTTTGAAGATGAACGAAGGTCTTACAGGGTTTGGAACGACATGAGGGTGAGTAATTAATGACAGAATTTTTTTTTTTGGAAGAACTATCCCTTTGATGTCATTATTTAGGTCATATTTTTGCCCTATTTTGGTGTGGTTCATACAAAATTGAGGTAGATAGTCATCTTTATAGTCATTTTAATAATTTTTGTTTTAAATATTTATATATAGCTTTTAATTTGATTTCAGTTTTAGTAATTTTTTTCTAAGTAGTTTTAGTTAACAGTAGCAACACCAATTGTACTGAGTGTAAACTTTTAAACAGATCTTTTTTTGTGGATTGTACTATTAAAAACTATTATTTATTAACATTCTAAGTATATTTATACTCTGAAGTTTACATAAACTTTGACTGAAGTGTTGCCGCCAAGAAGAGAAAACTGACTCAGCTGCCTGTAAATCAGGACCGTTTGTGAAAACAGGAAGTTTGTGGTTTTTTATGTCACATAACTATTAGATTCAATTACTTCCTGTGCAACTTCCTGTACATGACTGTGAAGCCGCACACCAAAATGTAGCAACAGGTTTTAAAAATGTGACAACTGAGGTTGTGGAAGTGACTGAGTTAGATAAAAATAGACAAATATTTTCCTGAGAACGAACTTAGCTTATTCTGTTACACCAAATACACAAAATAATGATCTTTTAAAAAGCATCATATGACCCCTTTAAATAATCAATAATAATAAACTAATATATAATTCGTACAAAAAAGCTTAATTGAATATTTGCTAAATTGAATGTTTTCATAAATATTCATATATCCATTAATATTTAATATATAAAATATGTATCAATAATACTTATTATTAAGTTGGAGCAGTTTTTAAATGTTGTAGCTTCATAATAAAATAAACATAGAAACAAATACAGTAAATAAACAGAAAAAAAAGATTAATCCAAAAAGTGAATATATTTGTTTTCGAACTGATAATAAAATGTTAAATATTGTTTTTAATATTGTTGTTGTTACAACATTTTGAGCACTTTTTATGATGAAATGTGAATTCATAAATAAATTAAATAATAATCCAATTAATAATCCAAACAAGCTAAATTGAGCATTTGTGTTTTCAGAAATAATAATATATTCAATATTTTCTTTTATAAATTTTAATAATAATAATAAATATTATGATTATTATTATTATATGCACTTTTATGTGTTTTTTATTACATTTATTTTTTTATTTAAAAAATGTATATATAAACACACACACACATATATATATATATATGTGAATCTGTTTGTTCATTAGGTTTCCTCTTGGACTTCATCTCATATCCAGTAATTAAAGGCTTCACCTGTGCTGCTGCTGTCACCATCGGCTTCAGTCAGGTCAAGGTCAGAGTCTCACGCTAGAACAATCACTTACGCCCCTCGTCATTTCATTTGCATGATTCTTAAATGTCCTTTAAGATCTGTGAAGAGTTGTGTCAACCCGCTTCGTTTGTGCAGAATATTCTGGGTCTGAAGGAGATCCCACAGCAGTTCTTCTTACAGGTTTACTACACCTTCCACAAGATCCCTGAGGCCAGGTGAGCGCACACATATATGTCTGACCATTGAACAGCTGCTTCCTGTAGTGTTAAATCATCTTGTCTAAGTGCGTATCTCAATCATCTGTGTTCTCAGAGCTGGAGATGTGATTCTGGGTCTGTGCTGTCTGTTCTTTCTGGTCATGTTGACGCTGATGAAGAATTCTCTGGGTTCGTCTGAAGACGAGGCTCCTCTCCTCATCCGGTCTGCCCGCAGGCTGGTGTGGAGTTTAGCTACTAGTGAGTGCTCAAAAAACTCTTGTGAATCTGTAATGTAACCGACAGATGTTTATATACAATCTTCTTGTGTCGCAGTCCGGAACGCTCTGGTCGTCATAGCAGCGACGGCTGTTGCGTATTCCGCTGAGGTCGCCGGACACCATTTCTTCAGTCTCACCGGGATAACTGCCAAAGGACTGCCTCCTTTCAAAGCCCCGCCCCTTTCAGAGACTGTAGCCAATGACACGGTGATTACTTTCAGTGACATCGCGAAGGTGAGTTTTTGATACAAATCTTTCATAGTTTTTGATGTCAAGGACCTCCATCAAAAAGAGCAGCCTCGAAATGCATTATTAATTTTTTTATTTTTGTAAATAATTTTTTTAATAATTTGTCAGTAGAGTGAGATAATCATGATTTTTTTTTGTTATAATATAAAAAATGCTATAATACAATTATATTTGTTATAAAAATGCTATAATGCAATTATATTTAATTTAAATTTATACTTAAGAATATAAATTATTTGAGGCAGTTAAAAACATTTAAAATGATATTGTGTGTATATATATATATATATATATATATATATATATATATATAA